ACTAGGTGGAGCTATGACTGTGGGTGAATATCGGCTTGCAGATTTGTTCAGGGCAGGACTCTTGTCAAATGTGTTAAATTTCGTGCAGATTTGGTCATTTACAGCCAAGTTACTACAACTTCCTGTTTCATGGCGAATCATCGACGCCACGGCGAGCCCATCGACAAAAACGCGCAGATAGCACAACTTTACATCGTCAATGCCTTTAGAAGGTACAGCATAAATTTTAAGTTGATCCGACTAAATCCTTAGGAGGAGTTCGTTAAAGTATGGAGTGTGTAAATCGTCTCAAATCGGTCGCCAAATTCAAAATGGCAGACTTCCTGTTGAGTTTAGGGAATGGGTTCTTGGGGCTTTTTTGTGCGTCTTGAAATGATACACATCCCCACCAAATTTCGTGCATGTAGGTTGAACGTGGATGAGGGGCTAATTTTTTCCAATTTTCTAGGTGGCGCTAGCGAGCCATTTTGCCCCGCCCTTCCGTGAAACCAACAAAATACGAAATTTTTCACCAGTCCTGACATGCGTGCCAAATTTGTTGAGTTTTTGAGCATGTTGCAGCCCTGAAAATAGCGCTTACTTTTCAGAAAAAAGAAAAAAAAAATTAAAGCTGCAAGCAGCGATGGGCGGGCCCTCGCACCTGTAGCGCGTCGGGGTGTGAGGCGGCCGCGTTGCATATTTTGCAGCTCAGCCGGTGCGGCTGTGAATTTGCTACGCTGCTTAATTAAAGGTCACTTCCTGTTGCCAGCAGGTGGCGCTATGATTGTGGGTGAATGTCGGCATGTAGATTTGTTCAGGGCAGGACTCTTGTCAAATGTGTACAATTTGGTGCAGATCTGGGCATTTACAGCCAAGTTACTACAACTTCCTGTTTTATGGCAAATCATCGGCGCCACGGACACGCTTATGGACGAAAACGCGCAGATAGCACAACTTTACATCGTCAATGCCTTTAGAAGGCACAGCAGAAATGTGAAGTCGATCCGACCAATTCCCTAGGAGGAGTTAGTTAAAGTACGTAATGAGTAAATCATCCTAAAATGGCGGTAAAATTAGAAATGGCCTACTTCCTGTTGAGTTTAGGGCATCGCTCCAAGAGACTTTTCTGTGCGTCTGGACATGGTAGATGTACCACAGAAATTTCGTACATGTCGGTCAAACATGCGGCAGGGGCTGCTTCGTTAAAGGTCACTTCCTGTTGCCACTAGGTGGCGCTATGACTCTGGGTGAATGTTGGCATGTAGATTTGTTCAGGATGGGACTCTTGTCAAATGTGTAAAATTTCGTGCAGATCTGGGCATTTACAGCCAAGTTACTACAACTTCCTGTTTCATGGCGAATCATCGCCGCCACGGACACGCCCATTGAGGAAAACGCGCAGATAGCACAACTTTTCATCATCAATGCCTTTAGAAGGCACAGTAGAAATTTGAAGTCGATCCGACTAAATCCCTAGGAGGAGTTCGTTAAAGTACGTAATGAGTAAATCATCCCAAAATGGCGGTAAAATTAGAAATGGACAACTTCCTGTTGAGTTTATGGCATAGCTCCAAGAGACTTTTCTGTGCGTCTGGACATGGTAGATGTACCACAGAAATTTCGTACATGTCGGTCAACCATGCGACGGGGGCTGTTTCGTTAAAGGTCACTTCCTGTTGCCACTAGGTGGCGCTATGACTGAGGGTGAATGTCAGCATGTAGATTTGTTCAGGGCGGGACTCTTGTCAAATGTGTCAAATTTCGTGCAGATCTGGGCATTTACAGCCAAGTTACTACAACTTCCTGTTTCATGGCGAATCATCGACGCCACGGACACGCCCATCGACGAAAACGTGCAGATAGCACAACTTTACATCGTCAATGCCTTTAGAAGGCACAGCAGAAATTTGAAGTCGATCCAACTAAAGCCCTAGGAGGAGTTAGTTAAAGGGTTAGTTCACCCAAAAATGAAAATTAAGTCATTAATTACTCACCCCCATGCTGTACCAACCCCGTAAGACCTTCGTTCATCTTCGGAACACAAATAAAGATATTTTTGATTGAATCTGAGGGCTGGATCACTTTTCCATAGACAGCCTGAGGGACTGCCTCTTGACGGCCCAGAAAGTCATTAAAAGAAAAGGTTTAAATATTCCATGTGCCTACAGTGGCTCAACTATAACTTTATCAAGCGACGAGACTACTTTTTGTGCGAAAAAAAACGTAAATAACGACTTTATTCGACTTTCCATTACTTCCTTATGGGCGCATGCGCGAGAACTGAGACGAGACCGTTCTTCTTTGACTACTTTTTGTTACCGGCTGCTCACCGCTTAGGAGTTTTACCGCCCCCTACCGTATAAGATGACGTTATGAGTTTTCTTTTGGGGGGCCACAAAAGGATTCACCCTACACAAGGGGGCCTCCTCCTGAAAAAGTTTGAGAACCACTGCTGTAAAGGTTTCATTATAGCAAAACAGAGCACCTGTGACAGTGGAATCAGTTAAAAGTAGTCAGGTGTAAAGAAAAAAAAAACTTTTTTTTTTTTTTTTAAGTTTCAAACTTTTTTCTCTTTCACAAAAAACACTGCAGTTACAGCTTTTCAAATTCTTCATTGGAGGTGTACAAATAATTTTCTTTTTTTCAAATCACAAAAAGGGCTGTGCAAAAATTAGTTGCGATTAATCGCATCCAAAATAAAAGTCTGTGTTTACATAATATATTTGTGTGTGCTGTATATAATTATTTTGTATATATAAATACCTATGCATGCATGTATATATTTAAGAATTATTTGCACTTAAATTCTGTATATATATATGAATACATAATCTATATTATATAAATATAAATATTTTATATATGAATAACACATTTTCTTAAATATATACATGCATGTGTGTGTATTTATATATACAAAATAGGGCTGTGTAACGATTAATCGTGATTATTCGCATCAAAAATAAAAGTTTGTGTTTACATGATATATGTCTGTATAATTATTTTGTATATATAAATACAAACATATGCATATATATTTAAGAAAAATGTGTTATTGATGTGTTATTGATATATCAAAGATTTATATTTATGTATAATATTAATTTTGTTTAAACATATATACAGTACATACATGCAAATATTTCTTAAATATATACATGCATGTGTGTGTATTTATATATACAAAATAATTATACACACTACACAAACGTATATAATTTATGTGAACACAAACTTTTATTTTGGATGCGATTAATCGCGATTAATCGTTTCGCAGCCCTAATACAAAATAACTATATACAGCACACACAAATATATTATGTAAACACAGACTTTTATTTTGAATGCAATTAATCGCAATTAACTTTTGCACAGCCCTGTAAGAAATGTATGCTGACATTTAAGGCACGGCCACACAGGGGGTTTGAGCATATGTGACTGTGAATGAAAAGTGAAGTGTGACCACATGAGAATAGCCAAACAGTATAGATGATTCACAAAATTATACACCAAGAAATGTGCATAATTGGCCAAAATGTTACTGTTTATCAACAAAAATATGACCCTATGAGTTTGGTAATTTTTAGAATAGGATTTGTGCACCTGCAATGAAGAATTTAAAAAGGTGTAACTGATGTGTTGTGTTTGTGAGAGAGAGAAAGCAAAGAAAAAGAGGTTTGCAACTCATAAAACATTTTCTCGAAGACTAAAAATCTACAAATTGCACTGTTATAGGGACTCTGTTTAGCTTCAATATTACTAGATATAATACAGTGTCAATCTTATTAACTACTATTTATTTTGTATAAAATCATAAACAGTATATAGGTAAAAAATTTGGAAACATTTTGGAAGAAGTCTATTCTGCTTATCAAGCTTGCATTTATTTGACAAACAAAAAAAACAGTAATATTGTGAAATTTTATCATAATGTAAAACAGCTGTTTTCTATGTTTCTGTTTTTTATGTGAATATATAATAGTGTAATTATATTATATATAATAACCTGAATTTAATGTTTTATGTTTTGTAATTAATAAATACATTGATTTGAAATCCCTTTGACTTCTGTACATTTGTGAAAATACAAAAATTATTTATGTGGTGACTGCATTCAGATGTATAGAATAAGTGTTTTTCCCAAAGACTTATAGTTATATTAGCCAAAAAGTATTTATAGTGAAACAGATTAATTGTGAACTAGATCTATTGTTGTAGATGCCCTGTGTGTGCAGTGCGGGCCCTGTGTGGGCTTAGTGAGGGCTTCCTTGGGGCTAAGTGAGGGCTGCCCATGCAGGGCCAACGTTTTGTGGGCCCAGTGTGCGGGCCCTGTGTGGGTTTAGTGAGGGCTAAGTGAGGGCTGCCCATGCAGGCCCAACGTTTTGCCAATGAGCAAATTCTCACGGGCCCTGCGCTAGCAGCCTGCAGGGGGCCCTTAGGCTAGCCCTAAGTGGGCCCGGAAAGGGTCAGTTCAGGCTTGTTTGCAGGGGCACTTCACCGCCTTCTTCCAGGGAGAGGGCAAACTTGAGCGTGGTGAAAACCGTGATTTGTGGAGGGAAAATGTGTTATGCGGCGACGTCACATATGCGACGTCTTTCTCGTTATGTCTATTCCACAACTGCTAGCCAAAGAATCATACAATATACTGTCAAACTCGTTGCATGAGAAAGTCGAAAGAGTTGTAGTCCACATGCTCTCACACAAAGTCTAACCGTATGAAAATTCTATACCCGCTAAATTGTAGCATTCTTTTCACGAAACATTATATAAAAAAAATCACAGACAACATATTACATTCATTGCAAAATTCAAACGGGATTAGAAAATAATTATTTTCTCTCATTCACTTGCATCGACGATTTTTCAACCTAGAGGTCCAGCGGGGTTAGCTGAAGGGGCGGGACTTACCAGCTCTATAGTGCTCCTGAAATTTAAAGTGTGTGACGTTGCACGACGACGACCATATTGCTATTGGTTGGAATGCCGGCGCCTCAGATTCTTTGGCATCTTATTGGTCGGGTGGATGGGGGCATATCGACATGCGAATGGTGTAGCCGGACGGACTCCACGGCGGTTTGTTATTGAATGGAAATCCTTTTTATGTGGCAATATTCCTACTTAGCACACGAAAAATTAAATGTATTTATTCGTATCTTTTGTTATATTTTTTGTTTTATTATAATTTAATTACGCAGTTTTTTTAAACATCTTTTTATGGGGCTATTTAAAAGTCTTAGTTAAAGCCTTAGGCCTTGTGCAGGCGCCGGTGGTCGATTTTAACAAAAGCCGAGGAACAGTCACGTAGAAGCAGGCATACTTAATCCATGAAACCAGCCTGCAGAAACACACTTTCATCAAAGCAGTAAATCAACAAAAGAAAGAGAAACCACGGGAACCCAGCCCGGATGGTGCCCGGCGTTTGAGGCGTTTGGAGATCACATATGGACAATTCCTGATTATTTTTCTGGGCACACACAATAGAAAATGTCTAACGGTGCAGCGGGGAGCGGAGGCTTAACCTGGGTGGTAAGTCATATATGATTACTAAGTAATTCACGTGTTATTACACATATACATCGCGTATAATACAGTCAGATTATAACCACTCTGTGTAACCTTACTCCCGCGTGTGCTTTAGCCTTTTAGCTGCAACATTTCCTCAGTTCAACATAAAGGATCCCACAGTCTCATCTGCATCTCTATATTATTAATGCAGTGCACATAATATTAATTTACATCTGTTTTAAATACCTTATATTTAATCAATTTGTGTATAAAGATAATGATTTGTGAAGCTCTTCATGGTAATGTGGAGGAAAGTTCTTTTGTGTTGATTCTCAGCTGTGAATTAACTCTTTCCTCTGATTTCAACTCTCTCATCTTTGTTAGAGTAAAACCTATATGATGTTTACACACCAACAGAAGGTTGCTCTATTATAACCAAAAGTCCAAGATTATGTGCTGGTCTTAAACCGGAACATGGTGGAAGGGTTTATTTGGGTTTGCTCACTCAAAGCCACAACAATAGATTAAGAACTAGAATTATAGAATAGAATTATAAGAACTGATCCCAGGCAAGTACTAATATGAACTAGGTTACTATGAATTCAATGCCCTTGCTATCATAATTAATTTTAGCCAAAATGCCATTTGAGACCATTACATTGTAAAGGACACTGGGAATTTGACATGATGTTTATTCAGAGTAATCTTGCAAATAACAGCTCAGATAGTATTGTAAAGCACTGACATTATGCTGTTTTCAAAATATTTTTTCCAATCAAAGACATGTTAAAAGATTAAAGGGTGGGTCCGGTTCAACAAACTACAGACAAGACAGACAGACAGTTAATATACACCAGCATGAATTTACAGAGATATTCTATTGTACAAGTATATTTGCAAAATAATTGTTAATCCAGGCAATCTAGATGATTCACCAAATATTTCAGCTACCTTTTGTTTCTGTAAAATAATTCCAACCTCAAAAGCAACTAAAAGGTTCGCAAACTTTTTGAGAGAACCACTTGATAGCCGCGGACAAGTTTAACAAAGTTGCATGGATGTATCTAACAACAGACCCTCTTTGACAAGAACAATGGTGCGAAGAAAGAGGAAGTGAACGGCCGGGGAGATGCAGTGAAGAGTGAGGCGGGCAAGAAAGAGAGCTCTAAGAAGATGTCAGTGGAGAGGATCTACCAGAAGAAGACTCAACTCGAGCATATCCTCCTCCGTCCAGACACCTATATCGGCTCCGTGGAACCTGTCACTCAGGTAACAGAAAACTTTTATCAAGATCAAGATTACAGATTAAGTCTAAATTTTAGACTGACGTTCAGAAAAATGTGAATCCGACTTTATAATGAAACTCATTTTAAGACATAAACAAGTCATTGAAATTTAGCATGTTTTGCTTATTGTAGTAGAATTACTGTTGGAAGTAAATGTTTAACTGACTGATTGACTTCTTCAAAGCTTGTTTCAGTGTCATCAAATGCATTTTAATTAATTTATATAATACTCAAGTGATTGTGTGTTCTACAGCAAATGTGGGTTTTTGATGAAGAAATTGGAATGAATTTGAGGGAGATCACGTTCGTCCCTGGATTATATAAAATCTTTGATGAGATCCTTGGTAAGATTTCTGTTCTTTCCTTTCAGTGAAAAGAAAAATCAGGATTGCTTAGTGATCATTTGTTTCCACTTCATTGTTCAGTAGTTTTCATTAAACTTAGATATAGCATTTCACCAGTGCTCAGAAGTTATCTGTTTTTCATGTTATTCAACCATTATGTTGTGCCATTAAATTTTGCAATCCTTTCTTGTCTCTCAACTTGCAGGTTTGAAAGCATTAAGACAGAGAGGGTTTTGTCTCATAAATATCTGTAGCAAAAATTACATATGAATTTTTAAGTTTTGTTCATTTCTCATTTCAGTGAATCGATTCAAAACTGATTCAACCATTGTTTTGCATCATCAAAAGCACTCAAAACTGTTCACATAAGTCTCAGCATTATTTCATAAATTT